GACTCATAGAACACTTTTGCATTTATAGAAGGGTGTGATTTGTATAAGGCTGCAACTTTGAAAAAATCAAATTAAGGTGCACTCTTGAACTTTGTCATGAGATCCAATTTTGGGGTAAACAATAGGATGGTATGAAAATCTATTTTTATTTCTAATTATAAAATTTTAAACTACTAAAATATAACTGTTTGAAAAATTATAAAAATGGACTGGCCAGATAATGTGTTGCAAAATGTAGACTTTCAAATCTCTTTTTTTTTTGTTCTTCCATATCTATGTCAAGATGATCAATTAGATGTTTTTCCAACATCAAAACATCCTTTTTCAAACAATTTTTTAGAGGCACCTTAATTCTGTATTTTGAAGTGCCAACCTTATATAAATTTTTTTGTTTTAAATATTTGCAAAGCAATCTCATACTCGGGGACACGAGTCATATGCATGGGGTTAACCCCAAAAAGAGAGAAAAAAAAAGTTATTTAAAAATTCTAAGATTCTTTTAGTCCAATGGGTGACCAGAATGCTCTAGTGTTTATAAAATTGAACCGGAACAGTTAACCAGACATGGGTCTGGAAGCAGTTTAACTGGCCTAACCGGTAAACCGGCGGATTCAACCCTTTTAATCGGGCAAGTACCGAGCGGTCAAAAAAATATTAAAAAAATAAAAAAATACAAAAAAAAATCTACTAAATATGAAAAACATATAAAGGCTAAAACAAAACACATTCAAATGAAGTTGAAAATTAATGAAAAAATGGATTTTAACCCATTTTATATTTTCCAATAGCTATTTTAATTTTTTTAAAAAAAGATGGGAAGATATAAAAGTGAGTATTAATGATCAAAACAATTTTAATATTTACCATAATGTAAAGAATATTTAAAAATGTATGACAAATCAAATTGCTTATTTTTTAGAATTTATATAAATTTTTTAATTTTTTTTTAAAATATCGGTTGATCACCCTATCCACCCAAAACTGGAAGCCGGCTCCGATCTAACCGGGCGGTTAATAGTTAGATCGAGCGATTTTGCGTACAATGGAATGCTCATTAGATAATCGCCATCAGCGGATTGCACGGTGATGGTAGTGGAGTAAAGCGTACACTAAAAATTAGTGACATATTTGGTGGGATCACCCTCTAACTATAACCATACAAACCACTGATGTGACGGTGATGGAACCCCTGGCCATTCTATTCCTAAGTCATGTGCTCATGTTAAGACTTTCCCCTATTTTGATTCAAATTCAAGCTCGTAATGAGGATTAAGTCTTTGAGAAAATTACGTCCATACAGTAACACTTATGCAATATCACGATATGGTCCAATGTTTTAACCCCTTGTCTGATGTTTGTTAGATGTGACTTTTTCATTTGAGCTTTTTATTTATTTATTTATTGATCCGAAAGGTCATTCAATGGGTTAGAAGTATATTATGGGTTGGTCCGATGTGTGGAACATTGGATTGCCATTAACGTTATTTTGGCATTGTCTGAAATTACTAATATCTTCAGCCTTTGAAATTATTTTGAGTTATTCAATATTTGTGACATCAGATCGCACGAGGTTTGAATTCTATAACATTGCACCGCTTATATAGTGAGTGATCCAATGTTTGGAACATCATATTGCTAGTCTGCTTAAACTTTCATAGGCCACACGAACATCAAATTGCTCACAACAGCGTTGTTTAATATTTGAAAATGACCAGTAATATATCTCCTAGCTAACGGATAGCTCTATACATCAAACAAACGAAAAAGTAAAAATAAAAATGGAAGAGTAGAACAACTATATAAAATAGGAAAATTATAAAAAATATATCTTAAATTTTGCCTAATTAGAAAAAAAATCATAAACCTCATCGTAATTTTTTTTTTTTTGCAATTTTGACATTTTTTTATTAAAATAGCCTTTACAATTGTTATATTACCGTAATCACTAATGACCAGGCTAAGACTTATGGTACTTTAAGTACCGCAATGACCAGGCTAAACATTACGCTACTTTAAAAAGCGTAATGCTTAGATGTGGTAAATGAGAGAGAAAGAGACATGAGCATTACAGTCTTTAAAGTATCATAATACTTAGCTTTATTTAAAGTACTGTAATGCGGTAATCATTATTGCACTAATACAACTATTGGGAAGGTCAATTTGGTAAAAAATTAATGAAAAAAAAGGTGTCAAAGATGTTTATGGAAGTTAATGATTTTTTTCTAATTAGAAGAAAATTAAAGAATATTTATGATAATTTCCCGATAAAATATGGGAAAAATAGGACCATAATTTTTTTTTTTGGTAAATGCAAAAATAGGACCATGGATACTGGAAAAGAAGATTTTAGGGTAAAAAATTTTCAAACCTTGCCATCATTTGTAAACCCCGCCACTCCTGCTACCATTGAAGCAGCAAAGAGAAGCCAAAACCGCGCCATTCTTTCCATGCCCATCTCTCTCTCTCTCTCTCTCTCTCTGGCTTCTCTGCATTTATGATCGCTCAAGCTACCCTTTTCTTCCCTCCGTTTACTTCATAGCAGCGACGACGCATATTCCTCCAAGTTTTCAAATTTGCGGGTGCCAATCTCACTTTCACTTTTGTAAGCACGAACTCCTGTTAAAATATTCGTTCTTCGTTTTTTTTTTTATAGTTCCTGCAATATTTCTTTGCTTTATGTCACTCATGGATTAGGGAAAGCATTTACCATTATGCTTTTTTTTTAAACAGTTTCTTCAGATTCCATTACTTTATTTTAGTTGGTGCCCTTTCATTGCTTTTAGATCAAGCATGGTTTAGGGCGAAGTAATCTGGTTTATTTGTTTTCTTTTATGGCCTGTTCAAGTTTAGCTTTGTGGATTGGGGGAAAGCATTTAGCTTTATGTTGATTGATGAAAACGGGATACTCATTGGAAAGCATTTAGCTTTATCTTGATTGATCAAAACGGGGTACTCATTGGAAAGCATTTAGCTTTATGTTGATTGATGAAAACGGGATACTCATGGTTCTATTCGTGTGTTACGGGGTTACTCCATGATCGTACATTCTGCTTTTGTGAGGTTGATTTTTAGGGCTTAACTTTGATTTTTAGGGCTAATGGGTTTGTCTCACTTCACCTTGTTTTGTGCTCCTTTTTTTTTTTTCTATTGGGTCTTTGTTAAAAGCAATGCTAAAAAAATCAATTTGACCAAGGTTCTCGAGATCTGGCTGAGGCTAATTACCCGGACGAATCCGAGTAACTCGCCCAAGTCCATCTTCAAAGGAAAATGAAGAAAAATAATGGATATATATAGTATAAGTGCTTTTTTTATCAACAAAGTAAGAAATGGTGTGGTGCTTAGTGTGCTTTACATAAAATGACCTATTTAAGCTCGATTGGGTGGGTAGCTTTTTTTTTTTTTTTTTTTTTAACAAATGTTGGACTTTAAGCAGTTTTTTTTTTTTTTTGAACAAATATTGAACTCTTAACGAAATTGAACTCTGGGCAGCTTTTCTTTGTGAACAAATGTTGAACTCTAACAAAATGACGAACCCCTGATTGGGGTAAAGTATGTAAAATTTATTCTTTGGAGCTTACCGGGAAAACATTCTAACATATTTGCTATAAATTTGGCTCTGGCAAAATGATGTGTTAAAAAAAAAAAACGTGATGGGCAGGATTCGAACGCCTGATTGGGTAAAGTCTCTAAAATTTATTCCTTGGAGCCAATTTTCACAAAATCGAACCAGAACGGTTAACCGGTCATGAGGCTGGGAGCAGTTTGAACTGGAACTGAACTAACCGGAGCGGTTAACCAGATTAACCGGTCAAGTAAATTTTCTTTTTTAAAAAAAGGTTCAAAATCCCCCCAAAAAAATAGACAAAAAGTATACACCATCATATTACATACATTTATCTTATAAAAAATTTGAAACAACTTTTTATCTAATTTAATAGTTGAATATTATGAAAATATGCATGACAATTTATAATTTCACATAAATTCAATGGGTGAAGTTACAAAGTCCGACTAACAATGGATGATGCAACAATATATGCTTCTATATTGTTTTAATGTTGATGTTGAAAAATGTTGTTTTAATGTTGAAAACCCGTTTAATACGGTTTAGAAATGGGTTTGAGAGCGTATTTTTTTGTAGCATTATGTTCCCAATTTTTCGAAGGGTTGTGAGTCAAGGTAGTAAGAGAGAGCACCTCATTTACTTATAACTTGTTTATCAAATGTAGGGTGTGGGTCAAGGTGTTAAGTGCTGCTTCAAATGGCCAAATGGCATATTTTAAAAGTGGCCAAGTCGATTTTCAAATGGCCAAATCGATTTTGAAATGGTCAAACCTCATTTACTCAGTAACCTTCTGAGTTGGGTTTTAACATGACAAAAAAAAAATTATATAAGATGACAACTTTAAAATGTAAAATTAAGATGCCTATTTTTTAAAAAAAACAGGTTAGGTTTTTATCTATTTCAGCACGTGGAAACATGAGAGATGAGTAAATCACTTTTTAGTTTCTACCTCTTTTCTTCATAGTAAACTGATTTAAGGAGTATGAAGTTGCAACAAATGATAGATAGCTTGTAACAACTAAAAAAACAAATTAGAAGAAAATGCCACAACTAAACAACAAGTTGAGAACACAGACATCAGTAACATACACCAACAATAACCTTAAAAAGAAATAATTTTTTTCTCATATTCATCACAAAAAAATATTTTTATAAAAAAATATATATAACATTAAAAACAATCCAACAAGCTCACCAAAAATATAAAACATTAAAAAGAAACAAATATTTTTTTCTCATATTCATAACAAAAAAACATATTTTTGTAAAAAAATATATGACATTAAAAACAATCCAACAAGCTCACCAAAAAATATATAAATTTTTTTAAAAAAGAATATATATTTTTTTTCTCATATTCATCACAAATTACATATGTTTATATTAAAAAACTTAATTTTATTAAAAACACATTTTTTTTAAGAACCCTAAAATCGAGCCAAAGAGCACACATTTTTTTGAACAAATTGACATGGGGATATGATAGATACTTCAATTAAGATTCAAATGCCTCAAATTTCATGAAAATTTATTCACTATTGAGATATTTATTAAAAAAAATTGCGGATATTTCACTTCACGAAAATTTCAAGAAAAAGTGCAGTAAAAAAAATCAATATAAAAACATTTAATCAATAGTAAATCAAAATTACTAGTTTATTTGATGGATAAGGCCTTTATGATCAAACTTCAGTGATCAATTCGATAAAAATCGATCAACTGATTGATTAGAAATCAATTTGTTTGGATAAAAAACAGTTATTGGAGTAGCAATACTTGGGGCCCAAAAAAACCTCAAATCTTCATTGTTTTGGAAAAATTGTAATATGTAAACGTTGAATCCTTCAACAATCAATCAAAGCCCTCCATTTTTATGAAAATATATGAGGTATTAAAGCTACATTTGATAGAATGGCGGAAATTTATAAGTTTCAAAAATCCCCATTTCAATCCTCCAAGAACTCTTTGTTTTTCGACTTTTGATTCAATAATCGATGATCTATAGAAATTTTACGGTGTATAACATCAATATTAGATTGAAAAAACAAAAAACAACTACAAAATGGAAGAAAAAAAAAGCTGCAAAATCTTGTTCTATGAAAAGTAACGGGCCTGTGTCAAATAATGCCCATTATTTGATGCGTTAAAACGGCGTTATAACGGACGAAAACAATGGTAAACCGGATCGGTTAGGAAAACCAGCCAGTTTTGAATAAAAAAAGCCGGTCCGACATTGAACCGATCGGTTTTGGTCCCGAATTTTTTTGGAGTGCCGTCTTACCTTGTGTACATTAAAATTGGCCCTAACCGGAATCACCACCCCACCAATAGCGATCTAACTGGCCGGTTTTGTGAACACTGCTCGGAGCTAACCAGAAAAACATTCTAATATATCTGCTATAAATTTGATGTAATTTTGTATTTAAAGTTTAAAAATATTGTGTACAACTAGCTTGCCCAAAAAGTCGCCTCGCATATGGGCCGAGACCGAGTTGCCTCGACCAAGTTTCAAAGATTGATTTGGATGGATGGCCCCTATCAATAGGCCTATTGGGAATATCTTGGCTTTTCTTGGGAATTTGATTTGCTGTGACAAAAATGTACAAGTGGACGAGGTTCTCAAAATCTTTTACCATGTTGAGATTGAAAAGTATTTGTAATGCTTAAACTGGTATTTATTTTTAAGGGCCCTATATGATGATCTAGTCACATAACCCCATAGCCATGAGGTTGTCACCATCCCATCAATGGGTTGGTTGGCCATGTAAAGGAGTGGAATGTTAAACTCTACTTTGTCTACATCAGCACCCAATCAATGGATTGAACCATTGTTCAAGGACTCAGATTCGGCTAAGTAATTCGGCCTTGGCTTATGGCAGAGTCGAGTTCCAGGGGGCAACGCGCCGTTGTTAGAAGTTATTAAAAACTCGTTAATTTTGTTAAAAAATCTTATATATTATTTTAGAAATACAATTTATGATGATTTGGGAATTTTTATTATGGGATTGTATACAATGAGACCATTTACCTTTTATACAGGGTGGTCACAATTGTGTACAACCATTCTGATAGCTTGGGTGTGTCACAAAGTTCAAGAAAATTTTCTTTGAAGTTTGAGCTTGGTCAATAGACTAAATGCAACCATCTAACTTCACATCCAATGGTCAAAATTATTTGTGATCACCTTGTACCAAAGATAAATGGTTTCATTGTATATTTTTCCTTTTATCATTGCATGCTCCAAAGTTTTATGTCTTTTTTTATTTTTTTAAAATATTTCAAGGTATAAATCAAAATTTTCAATAATCCATCTGCGAGATACTTTCTTGGAATTTTTTAACTTTTAATGATTTCTATTACTTATTTTACTTTTTGATTATTTTTAATTATCTTTAACAATCTGGTTACATTTATTTATTTTTTGGCTTTTTTTCACTTGTAAAAGAATAGGCCAAGTCACCCACCTTGGGCCATGGACGAGTCTAAGGCCTGAGGCGAGTTTGAAAACATTGGATTGAATGGTTGCTAGGATGGATCATCTTATATTTTCTCCTATTTGCTAACCTTGAAAACATCTAGATTAAAAATTAGTCAGAAGATTTAAAATTTTTATTGTATACTGAAACTTGATAAAGACTTTCAATTTGTATATGTTATTGTATTTTAATGATATTAATTTTTTCACATGATTTTCCTCCTGATTTTAGAAACAGGTTTATAAATGTAACTGTATGAACTATTAAGTGAAGGAGCTTACAATGCTTAAGGTCTTGGCATGGTTTTTAAGGGGTAGAGGTTATGCTTGTTATGAAGGAAATTTTATTAAAATTAAAAATAATTAGAAGACATAATCCTCATAACATTATACTCTGTTTACTCACAGTTTCTATAATTCCAGTTGTACTTTCTC